ACCTTACAGATCATCCAGTCCCAAGCCACAACTGCCATGGGCAGGGACATCTCTCCACCACACCAGGTTGCTCAAGGCTTCATGCAACCTGGCTGTGAACACTGCCAGGGTTGGGGCATCTACTGCCTCCCTGGGCAACCTGGGACAGTGTCTCATCATCCTCATGGGGAAAAAACTTCTTCCTAATATCTAACCTAAATTTCCCCTCTTTCAATTTGTACCCATTGCCCCTTGTCCTGTCACTGTAGCTCCTAACAGAGTCCCTCTCCATGAAGATACACCACACACAAACAGGCAAGTGAGAGAAGGGCTGACTATTTATGCAACATGGCATACAACCTCAGAATTCACTTCACACTTGATTGAGATTAAGAGCCACTCTAAAATATTTTAAAAAAAAACCCACCCAACAGATATTTTTCCTCTCCCTGGAAAAAATAAAAAACCAGGTGGAGTGGGGGGAAGGCAAGGGATGTGCATGTGGTGGCCAGACCTGAACAACAGGATGGTGTTTCTGAGGTCAGGATGAGGCCCTGGGAGCCTCCCAGTTTTTCAGGGCCACTTTGTGGCAGGTCGGTGACCCAAGTGTGTAAGCTCCATTGCAGTCCCTAAAATTCCATGATTGTTTGATTCTATGAAAAGCTTCTTCTCTTGATGCAGTAAGGACTACTGTCTCCACTGCTGGATTGTGGATAATTGTAGTCCTTTAGCAAGTTTCATCAATGGAAGTTATGGGTGTTGGGTGTTTGTGGAAATGTTGTTTTCATCTCTACAACATTCATGATGTCCAGCTTAAAATGTAGAAAAGGAAATTTTTTCTACTTTGCACACTTCTGTTGCTCTCTTTATTCTTGACCACCTTTAAATTTTTTTATTGCTGCTTATTGTTATTTATTGATTAATATTCATACAACCCTTTGCACTCTTAACACTATTTTTATCTAATTGGTTCCTTGTTTCTGTTAGAGGTTGATTTGAAACTGCCAACAGTATCACCTGCAGTTTGACAATGACAAAAACTCAAAGCACATCTGAAATATTTTTATTAATGCTGAGAGTTACTGTGGGAGGGATGAATGAGAAATATTGTCTGGAAATGCTTCAGGGAGACTTAAACTTTGGCATAATTTGGAGACTCTCATGATAATGAAAAATCAGTGGCGTGTGAAACAGAGATACTGAAACCTCATGATGACTGGCATTTTGTGAGGGAAAAGCAAAATACATAGCAAGAAAAAGGCTGAAGATCATCTGTGCCCATTGCTGATGATCACAATTCCATGCGAAAAACAAGAGAGGTGTCAGACATTTTCTTCTTGTAATCTTCATTAAATTGCTCGTTCTGGGCCACAGTGAAATGATTCTTCCAGTCCCCAACAGTCCCTAAGAAATGGCAAAGAAAAAAAAAGATTAATTTATCAATATTTCCTGAAGCCTGTTACCCACAGCTCACTAGATACTTCTACTTCAAGGCTGATTTCATAGAATCATAGACTTTTTAGGGGTTGGAATGGAGATCATCCAGTCCCAACCCCCTGCCCTGGGCAGGGACACCTCCCACCACACCAGGTTGCTCAAGGCTTTATCCGACCTGGCTGTGAACACTGCCAGGGCTGGGGCATATTTCCAAACAGAATGATAACCAGACAGACCTGATGTCAGTAACAAACCTCAGTACCTTTTCTCATGAATGGGGAAATGGAATGATCCATTATGCCAGCAAAGTCCTTCGTGTAGTTTGCCATGGGATTTTGCTTCATTATCTCAAATGAAGTGTTATGGACTATCTTGTTTAGAACCTCCTCGCTCAGATCCTTCTCCAGGAACTTTGCAATCTTCTGAATTTCTTTCTTTGGGTTCTGCAGAGACAATAACATGGGATAAGATACAGAACCAGGGAAGGCAAAGAAATCAAACCTAGTGTTAAAGCTGCAAATCTCAGACTGAGAAAATTAGGTTATTGGAAGGTTTACTGATACAGCTGCTGTTATAATACAAAACTGTTGCTCCTAGGTAGTATTTACTACACTTTCAGATATCAGGGCTCTATAAACATACATTCAGCCTCTCACCTCCTTCATGTCTTCATAGAAGAGGTAGAGAATACGGTGCTTGTCTTTTGCCTTCCACCATCCTTTTACATGGTCATACCAGGAACCCCAGAGCACTGAAAAAGAAGTATCATCATTAGCAGCTATAAATGCCCTGTCTTTAACACATGTGGCACTCATGTTTCCCTCATAACCTGTGCCTGGGAAATTCCCAGATGGTTTTGAATCACTGTGTATGGATGCTCAGAGCAAGATTAATTTGTAACTTTAAAGGAAAAAAAAATGCAGATACTTAATACTGAGCAAAAAATCCAGTCTGTCTTTACAGTCAACGGAAGGAAACAGACATTTTCAGTGATTCATCTGATCAACTGGACAAGGCTGGTTTTAATTGGCCCTGCTTTTAGCTGGAGTTTGGACCAGATGGACAGAAGACCCCACCTGGAATACTGCACACAGTTCTGGTGTTCTCAACCTAAGAAGGACATGGAACTGTTGGAGCAAGTCCAGAGGAGGCCACCAAGTTGCTAAGAGGACTGGAGCATCTCCCCTATGAGGACAGGCTGAGGGAGTTGGGGCTGTTCAGTCTGGAGAAGAGAAGGTTGTATGGAGACCTCAGAGCAACTTTTCAAGATCTGAAGGGCCTACAAGGAGCCAGAAAGGGACTCTGTGTTAGGAACTGCAGTGACAGGACAAGAGGTAATGGGTTCAAACTGAAGGAGGGAAAGTTTAGGTTAGATATTAAAAATACATTTTTCCCTGTGAGGGTGGTGAGACACTGTCCCAGGTTGCCCAGGGAGGCTGTGGCTGCCCCAACCCTGGCAGTGTTCATTCCAGGCTGGATGAGCCTTGAGCAACCTGATGTAGTGAGGAGGTGTCCCTGCCCAGGGCAGGGGGTTGGGACTGGATGATCTCTAAGGTCCATTCCAACCCCTAAATTCTCTGATTGTCTGACAGTAAAAGTCCCTTCCAGCTTGCATTTTTCTGCAGTGAAAGTCCCTTCCAGCTTGCATTTTTCTGTGATTCTAACCAATGTAAATACTTGGTGTACTATCAGAAGTGCCTGTTCCTCTCCAGCAAGTTTCAAGATGATTAGCTAGGACAGAGGTAGCTAAGTTCTAGGTGGTTAGCTGAGCTGGTCAAACACAAGACACAAGTTCTCCTTTAGACATGAGTATCTCGTGCTGGTCCAGACAGTGGTATTTTTAGGCCTATATGGTGGCAAAAATATTCAGGTCCTAAAGGAAGCTTTAGTGACCGAAAGTATAAACTGCTATCCACTTGAGCAGGTTTTCTTTCTTGGATATTCTGTGATAAGAGCACCTCTTCTAGAAATGGAAGAATCAGCTTCTGAGTTTGCTTGTCCTTAGTTAAATAACTATCTTTGTTCAGATGCCTGAATTTTAGATAGATTCATTTAGGTAAAAAAACTCCCTTACCTCAGATTCACACTGCTCATTTCTAACAAAGTTAAGCCTTGATTTCTTGTACATCAGGTTAGAGTAAAGCCAATTAAACCACTGCTCCTTTTCAACTGGCTTCTTTTAATCCCACTGAGAAGAAATTAAGCCTGAAAATTGTCATATATGTTTCTGAGTGATAACAGAATAAAGAGTAGCTTGTGGTGGTTTTTCCCCCCCTCCAAATGGGAGTGTAAAGATAGATTTAATGCTTTAGGTACTAGTAAAAACTTGTAAGTGAAGATAAATTATGACTGAAACACCTCAGTAGATATCTTTCCATAGAGTCACAGCTTTGGATTTCAAACCATAGCTGAAATACATAAATAAATAAATGCCATGCATTTTTAAAATGAGCAAAATCTCTTATACAACTGATGGCAGTTCATCACCTTTTCCAGTCACGAATTTCTCCATGAATTCCTCCCAAGTTCCTGGTTCAGGCAATCCTTTATTCATTCTGTGGAAATGGTAGTATGACACCAGGTTGTCCTTTGCATTTCTTGCCACGTAGATTATCTTTATTAATATGAAAAGAGAGGAAAAAAAATGACTTGCACATGCTCATATAGGAACTGAGTGTCTCAAGTTTTCTCTTGGGGCCTGATGACAGAGGTTTAAGAGATTTTGCCTTCAAGCTGCCATTTTCTGAAATCCAACTCAGGTAACAGTCATGACCTCTAGTTTCTCACAGGCTTTGCACATTAAAGTGTAGATATCTGTGGAGACCTTTAGGTTTCATGAGAATATGTTTCTTGAAAACATATTCTGTCCTGGTTTATGTCACTTTCTTTGCCCATGAAGTGGAGTTGAGTCCTACCTCTTCAGCCTTACCTTACAGTTTTGTTCCCAGAAGGAGGGAGGCAGCAGCTGCACAGGCAGATGAGTCTTTATGGTTCGTGGAGATGGCATAGCATCAGCTAACTCCACACCTGTGGGACGTTTCATTAAGAGATGTGACTTGTTCTCTAAATTGCACTATCAATTCTTTGCTCTTCTCATACATTTCATTTTGACACAGTCTTACAGAAACATGCCAGGGACTCCTGAGATAATAGAAGCCAATGCAGAAACATTGGAGAAATACCCTGGTAGCAAAAGAAGGTTTAAGAGGGAATACCTCCATCAAGCACAACCAGCCAAAGACACGGCCACTAAACAGGATTTTAGAGCATCCTTTTGCACCCTCACTAGGGTATTGTCACCATTAAACACTTGCATTAAGTGCCTGTGCACCAATGCACACAGCATGGGGAAGAAACGTGAAGACCTAGAGGTCTGTGTGCAGTCACAGGGCTTCAATCTCATTGGAATTACAGAGATATAGTGGGGGAGCTCTCATGACTGGAATATTGTCATGAAGGGCTACACATTGTTTGGAAGAGACAAACCAGGCATGTGTGGTGGGAGAGTTGCCTTCTGTGTGAGGCAACACTCAGAATGTATCACATTCTGTCTTGGTATGGGTGATGAGTGAGTCAAGAGTTTATGGTTTAGGATGTAAGGGCAGACTAGTTAGGGTGACATTGTTATGGGCGTGTGCTACAGGCCACCTGATCAAGAGGAGAAAGTGGATGAGGCCTTCTACAGGCAATTAGAAGCAGTCTCAAAGTCACAGACTCTGGTTCTTGTGGGGACTTTAACTTTCCTGATTTCTGTTGGATAAACTACACAGCAAAGCACAAACGATCCAGGAGGTTCCTGGAAAGCATCGATGATAACTTCTCGTCATAGGTAGTGGAGGTTCCCATAAGGAATGGTGTGCTGCTCAGCCTTATACTAGCCAGCAAAAAGACTTTGTTGATGATGTGAAGTCTGGGGGCAGCCTTGGCTGTAGTGACCACAAGATTGTAGTGTCCAGTATGGAACAAAGAGGGAGCAGGACAGCAAGCAAGGTTACAGCCATAGATTTCAGGAGAGCTAACTTTAGCCTCTGTAAGGATCTTTTTGGAAGAATCCCATGGGAGCAGGCCTTGCAGGGAAGATGGGTCCAAGAGAGTTGGTTGTTATTTAAGGCTCACTTCCTCCAGGCTCAAGAACAATGCATCCCAATGAGAAAGAAATCAGGTAAAGGGCAGAAAAAACCCTTGTGGATGAATAAGGATCACCTGTCATTACTGAAGTAGGCTCAAGAGCATCCCAATGAGAAAGAAATCAGGTAAAGGGCAGAAAAAACCCTTGTGGATGAATAAGGATCACCTGTCATTACTGAAGTACAAACAAGAAATGAACATGAGTTGGAAGCAGAAGGAGGACCCAGGGAACTACCAGCCAATCAGCTTCACCTCAATCCTTGGAAAAGTGATGGAGTGCCTCATTCTGGAGGCCATCTCTGCCCACAGAGAAGACAAGAAGGAGGTAAAGGGCAGAAAAAACCCTTGTGGATGAATAAGGATCACCTGTCATTACTGAAGTACAAACAAGAAATGAACATGAGTTGGAAGCAGAAGGAGGACCCAGGGAACTACCAGCCAATCAGCTTCACCTCAATCCTTGGAAAAGTGATGGAGTGCCTCATTCTGGAGGCCATCTCTGCCCACAGAGAAGACAAGAAGGTGATCAGGAGTAGTCAGCATGGGTTCACTAAAGGTAAGACATGTTTGATCAACATGATTGCATTTTACGATGAAACAACTACCTGGATGGATGAAGGGAGAGCAGTGGATATTGACTTCAGCAAGGGTTTCCACACTGTCCCCAACAGCATACTCATAGGCAAGAAGTGTGGGTTGGATGAGTGGACAGTGAGGTGGATTGAGAACTGGCTGAGAGGCAGAAACCAGAGAACTGTGATCACTGGCACAGAGTCTAGTAGGAGACTGTCACTAGTGCTGTCCCCCAGGGTTCTATACTGGACCTAGTATTGTTAAACTTATTCAGAAATTACTTGGATGAGGGGACAGATTTGCCTTCTTCAGCAAGTTTGCTGATGATACCAAACTGGGAGGACTGGTGATCCCTCAGAGGGCTGTGCTGCACTTCAGAAGGACCTTGACAGGTTGGAGAATTGGGCAGAGCAGAACCAGCTGAGATTCCACAAGGGCAAGTGCAGGTCCTGCACCTGGGGAGGAATAACCCCAAGCACCAGGACAGATTAGGCACTGACCTGCTGGAGAGCAGCTCTGCAGAGAAGGACGTGGGGGTCCTGGTGGACAACAGGCTGTCCATGAGTCACAGTGTGTCCTTGTGGCTCAGAAGCCAATGGAATCCTGGGATGCATTGGGCAGAGAACCTTGACAGGTTGGAGAATTGGGCAGAGCAGAACCAGCTGAGATTCCACAAGGGCAAGTGCAGGTCCTGCACCTGGGGAGGAATAACCCCAAGCACCAGGACAGATTAGGCACTGACCTGCTGGAGAGCAGCTCTGCAGAGAAGGACGTGGGGGTCCTGGTGGACAACAGGCTGTCCATGAGTCACAGTGTGTCCTTGTGGCTCAGAAGCCAATGGAATCCTGGGATGCATTGGGAAGAGCATTGCCAGCAGGTCAGGGAGGTGATCCTGCCTCTCTGCTCAGCCCTCGTGAGGCCACACCTGGAGGATTGTGTCCAGTTCTGGGCTCCTCAGGACCAGAGGGACATGGAGCTCCTGGAGCAGGTCCAGGTCCATGAGGTTGTGGATTCTCCCTCACTGGAGGTATTCAGGAACCATCTGGACACAATCCTGAGCCATGTGCTCTAGGGTGGCCCTGCTGGAGTAGGGAGGTTGGACCAGATGACCATTGTGGTCCCTTCCAACCTAACTGAGTCTGTGATTTTGTGATTCTGTGACTGTGACTTTTCAGCAGTTCACCTTGCACTGATCATTCTTCTCCAAAGCAGTTACATAGAAGTTCAACATATACCACATTACATAGGTATCTTCAGTGTTTCTAGAGAAATATTTGCCTATATATTCAAATAGAAAAGGGGAAATACTGATTCATATCTTCTTGCTTTCTTGGGCCCACATCTAACTCCTGCACTCCAGGGGGTAATGATGAATACTTATTTATATTTATGCAAATAAAATTTTTCCTCTGCAATATTTAATGATCTCCTTCCACTTCACAGCAAGAAGATTTTTGTTTCTTTCTAGGGTACAAGATTATGACTGTCTGACTAGACTTTGTGGATAGCATGTAAAGAGAAACTAGAAGAATGATGGGCAGTGGTTTTTCAGTAGTTAGAGATATATGGGAGTTCTTAGGAATATCAGGTGATGCCTGGAGATCCTCCCTCCTCCTTTTTAAACATCTATCATGACCTCCAACATTATTTTCCGTGTCATCTTCTATTATCCTCTGTCATCTATAATTTTTTGTCTCTCTCTGTCAACACAGTCTAGCTTAGAAGAGAAAAACTGTCAGTTTTGCTGAGAATTAGTCAAGTTTTTTAGCTTCAAATGTGAAGGGAGTCTGACTTAAAGATTTGTGTGGAAAAGGAGTCCTTGCTGTGGGAAGACTCTTGTAGGAAACCGTGTCTGCAAACCACTGAAGTTTGCTGGTTGCCTCAATGCCCTGTAGCTTCTTTAGATGACTAGACCCTAGAACTCAACAGCAGTTACTCAAAACAGTAGCAAAACCACTGAAAATATTATCCACCTTTTGGAAATTCATCCATGACATAGGTTTCTCTTCCATACTGCCTGTAATCAGAGAATGGATTGCCCAGGACAGTGGTGGAGTCACCATCCCTGGAAGTGTTGAAAAGGTGTCTGGATCTGGCACGGGAGGATCTGGTTTAGGGTTTAAGGGTTCCAGCAGTGACAGGTTAATGGTTGGACTTGATGATCTTAAAGGTCTCCTCCAACCTTGATGATTCTATGGTCTTAATGGGATCCAATTGCCCCCATGTTGCCATTTTACACATCTCTTGCTGTTTTGGGTACTGTGGAGTATCACACACACCTTTCGGATTCCACTCCAAACCAGCATGGCCTTCAGTAGCACCTGAGCCACATGTGCTAGCCTTGCATCACCTTGAGTAGCACTAAATGTTTATGTTACAGCAACTGAGCTGTCCTTAACACCCCAAATACAGCATAGTGACAAAGCAAGTGGGACCTTACCCAGGAACTTGTGGTACCAGTGCTAGGTGCTTCTTTAGTTTCATTCTGCCTAAAATACCAACCTCTTTGTGCAATACTCACCTGAGTAACGTGCAGACGGAGGCTCCGCGATGTACCACTCAAGGAAAGGATGGCGTTTGTAAGTTGTCTCACGTCTGCATTTCTCAACATCCCCATTGTGCTGAATCATGTCCACTATCTCCTGTGTCCACGTGGTACCTGAAAGTGTCAAGTGTTTAGATGTCTCCCCCTGGGATGGCCACAAGTCTCTTCTGCTAGGGAACTGAGAGCCAGAAGGATGGACTCTGGATTAAAGAAGGAAGGAACAGCACAGAAGATAATGAACAAAATGGAAAGAGAGGATAAGGGAGGAAAAAGGTCTAATTAGGAATATAGGTTCATTCCCAAAGCACAGTTTCTGGGACTTCATTTTAGACAGGCTATTGTCAAAAGAGATAGCCACCAACCCTGTATCATTATGGAAAAAAAAAAAGCTCTGGGATAAACTCATTCTTATTTGGACATTGTATTATTTGCAGAGAGAAGTGAAATCTCCTCCTCCCAATTTTCAGGCCTCCCAAAAGCTCAGGTATTTCAACTTTTGTTTTCATACTGCATTTGAATGAAAAAATTGCAGTACCTGAACATCAAGTGAGTAAAAATTCCATAGAGTTTGAAAAGATAAGGAAGTTGGAGTATTTGTGAAGTTTCCATTTGAAACATTTTAATGAAGGTCAGTACAATATTTCATCCGCCTGAGCAACTGCAACATCTTGTAAGAGTTACAACATTGTGACTCTCATGTGCCTCTTTTATAGCTGTGATCGCTGTGTTAATCACATCTCTGAGGTACTGTGGCATGTCAGCTGGAGAACAGGCTAAGGGAGAGCTTTGAAAACAAGGAAATTGGGGTGAGAACCTGGCACAGGTTGCCCAGGGAGGTAGTAGATCCTCCACCCCTGGCAGTGTTCAAAGCTAGATTGGGTGAAGCCTTGAGCAACCTGCCCTGGTGGGAGGTGTCCCTGCCCAGGGCAGGGGATTGGGACTAGATGATCTCTGAGGTCCATTCCAACCCCTAAAATTTGATGATTCCATGACATTCAGCCCTTCTTAAGATGCTTGAATTGTGCATCTCTGTCAGATACAACACAATGTCAAATGGACTTCTAATTTTATTTACTTTCAGGTCAATGGCTGAAAAGTTTTAATCTAGGCTGGATAAACATGGTTTTGCTTTCAGTAGGCAGACAATAAATTAAAAGCTTTAAGGTTTTGCAAAAATAATGGTGGAGTTTTCTAGTAAGAACAATTTTTCCCCTGCTGAAAAAAAGTCCTTAAAAATTGTTAATGTAATGATAGTCAAATGCTCCCATATCTATTCCTGAATCTCCTGCACTGTACATGTTTTTATTCATCCAGGATTAATATTGATGCTTTTTATTCACTGTTTTCCTGTGTAGTGAGTATAAAGGGTCTGACGAAGAGGAGAAATTGTGGCCAGTCACTGTATAAAATACCAGATACCTAGTATTAATTGTGGTTATTATATTTTGCTGGCTGAAATTATTAAGTGATTTGATTAATTCCTTAAAATAATGAATCCATTTCCAGAAATCCCTATTGTTTTACACACCAAGTCATTCCCCAAATACATAACATGTTCCATAGTTGTTCAGTGTATTTGTATTGTTTCTTGGTAATGGTGACATTTTTCTAGGCTTTGTTAAATCATTATGTATTGATGAAAAACTTGTACTGTTGACAATATAAAGGTAGATAATCTAAATCAAGGGAAACATTTAATATAGATAATGAGACTTTGACCATTTGTACTTCAGTAGTAACAGGTGGTGGTTACTTCTGCCAACGAAGTCAGAAGTTGATGGCTGACACAGCTTCATGCCTTTATCATAGAATCATAGAATCAAC